CCACGCCGACACCCGGCCTCCCATCATCACCCACCCAGGACCTGCTACCGATGTGATTTCCTAGCAATATTTATAAACCGCTACTGGATTTGGGTCCATTTAATAGCAATTGAACAATATCAGCAAAGCCCATGGTAAGGACAGCCCTGACTTCGAGTGCTGGGGAGGAGCTCACAGCAGAGAGGATGCCCCCGCTCACGTCCCCAGGCAGGGATGGCCGTGGGGATGTCCCTGCGTGGGGATGCTCCGGGAAGCCCACGGGGGATATGAGCAAGCAGTAATTTATTGCTCATTTCTGCTCTGTGAACTGAAAGGCAGCCCATTTGCTGGAAACCGCTGCGCCCACGGCCGTGGGGCCGGGGGGAGAGGGGCTGGAGGGCTGGCTCCAGTCTGCGCACTTTCAGGCTAGGTACAAGCCTGCAGCAAACAGGAATCTCTGGCCTGAAACGCTGGACTTGCCTCAAATCTTCCTTAAGTGTTTTATTCTGATTTAGACCCCGCGAGGAATACGAGACCCAGCGTGTCTGGTAACGAGAAAGATTTCACTGATATGCAATGTTCATACCACATACGTCAAATGGCACAGTGAGTGCTGTGTTCTTTCTCTGAAAAGAATATGTAGAAAAATACTGTTAAAAAAACCACCACCTACTCCCTTTCATCTGTTGTTTCTTCTGCTAGAAAGGTACCTCAGGATGAACAGATTATCAGTGCATTAGCACTCATATTCTGAATAAAGCGTGTCTGGTCCATTCTTTGCACGTGCGCAGGCTGGTAACTTAAAGGCTCTGTCAAATTGCTTTGGATGCTAAATAGTATGCAGAAGAAATTGCGTTAGATGGCAGGGAAGAGAAATGTGACTTTGTCGTTAAGACTTTGAAGTACACTTGTGTTTTATCCCCCTCCTCCCCCTGAGAATAATATGGCTTTCAGTTTCCAATTATATAAATACATACTTCATATTCAAAGTGGCAGATCAACAGGGTGACTGCACCAGCCTGTGTATGCACAGGCTATAAACATCTGCATTAGATCGAGGGAATATAAAGATCTCCAAACGAGAGAGATCTTACCAGTGTTCATTATACAGAATAGTTAATTTACTCCACTGCTATCAGGGTAACTCACACAATAGCAAAACCTGGATATTTTAGGCCATAGATTGTACTGCTCCAAAGCTGTACGGAAAGGCGCTCGCAGTTGTAGCATTTCAAACCTGACTCTTCCATAAGTCTGTCTTTACAGGACATCAATCACACGACGAGAGCAACTGTACGCTATTTTCTAGCAACACGCTGCCAATCGCAGACAAATGTCAGATGTCACAAAACGGGAAGGAACCATTTTTCAACTTGCGAATGTCTTCAAATATATTACAATGAAAGTGTGAAAAAAAAATGACCCTTTCAGCTTCATTTGTTCTGACAGATGCCAGACCTTGGAGTTTGGCATTTTATCTTCATCCCGCAATAATCTTTACGAAACTTCAACAAGGCTGAGGGCAGTGGCATTAGTCTACAATGTACGATACCTAAAATATCAAACAGTCTAGCCACTGAACTAAAGATCATCTGCTGCTCCTCTTACTGGTGTTCCCGGAGGAGCCAGAGAGCAGCAGGGACGCCCGCGCCCCACACGAACGCGTGCCAGGCACTGGCTTCCTGCGGGCTCAGCACGCCTTCCGCATCGTGTTGCCATCCTGCCGATCGCCAGCGAGGAAAACGCGTGCTGCTCACAACTAACGCCAGGACAAGAAACTCTAAAACACTTCTCCTGAAGTAAAAACTCACTCCATGGCGTGTGTGCACGTTTAGTCCGTGGCATCGAGCGGGCGGACTCCCCCTGCCCTGACAACGTGCTGCCAGGGCCACGTTTCCGACACCCCGGCCGTGGGAGCATGCGGACATCGAGCACGGGCGATTTTCTCCCGTCCCAAGGTAACTGCCCCGATGCTGCTCACGGCTCTGCCATTTCCCACAGCGTGAAAACCACTGGAACATAAAGCAGGCTCATTACCGTTACAGAACAGAACAAAGGAGAGAAAGCAGACTCGGATGTAGCCATGCGTTATTGTAATAAAATATGAGACCGAAAAGACTTTGACTGAACAGCCCCGAAGTTCCAAGCTCCTCCCGTCCTTTCAGCCAGCCTCATGTCCTGCTTAGCCCCAACCCCAAGAACAGTGTGCTTCTGGGAGTCACGGTGTGCTTCTCGAAAAATAAGACTACTCTGTACAACTCCAGCGGTACAGCCCAGCATTCTTGACAGAATGGCCTGTTAAATAATATGTATCTAATTTGTACAGAGTTATACTCTTATTTAAGGGAAAAAAAACAAAGAAGTGGTGCAAAGACAAAAAAAAAAAATCTGCTCTAGATGTTACTTCAGGTCCAACCAGGGTAACAAACATGCAAAAGGCAAAAAATAAGCAAACCTGGAATAAATCAGTTCAGCCCAAAGTCAGTTACAGGACTGGTTTCACTGGAATTGAAAGGAACTCTTTGCTTTTGCAGAAGCAGTGCTTAGTACCTGAAGACAAAACCTCCACTTCACTCACCAAATCTGACTTACTGAAGTAAATTTTTTCTGTAAGTGTGAGCGTATTGGTTCTCTGTGGAAGCAAAAGGATAAACATCTTTAGTCTTTCTTTACAAAATTAACAGTACTTGTCATGGCAAAGACATGTGCAAAGAAGTAGAAGCCAAAATGTGATTTCAGTGTTTAAGACTGTCTTTAAAATAAAAGTACATAGACAATGACCAAATCTGTACTGATTCCACCACCTACAGGCCAAGCCACCAAAAGAAGAGGGTCGAAGCCTGAAGTCTGCCCACAAACATAATTCCAGGTTTCAGTTTTCCAAAGTCCACAACCGGCATTTGGGACGGCAGCTCCTGACTGGGTTTCCACGATACGTCCAGTGCATACAAACAACGCACCTCCTTTGACACGAGCGTGCCTCTCGATCAGTGCAAGCAACCCCGCGGTGCTGGCTGTCACCCCGCAGGTGCTTTTCCACACACTCAGGACGACAGCACGGTTTGCCACGTGCGGTGCTCTGCAGGTCCAACAGAGAGGTGATAAACAGCCATTGCCAGGATCACTACTGGAGAATGGGAGCTTGCAGTAGATTTTATGCAGAGAGTAAATTAAAAAAAGCTGAAATAAATAATTATGACTGTCAGGTGAAGGAATTCAAGTCCGTCTCTCCTCCTGCAGCACACGTACGTGCCGGGGGATTAATTCTCAGTTTGGTCCTGGTGTATCAGCACCGTTGATAGCGATGATTTGTATAATCCACGAATTTACTGGCCGTGTGACTCAGGAGGGGTGTGTATGTGAGGCTGGCGCAAGGTGAAGTCCGTCCGTCTGACAGGGAACAACCGCGCTCCGGCGCTCCACGACCCCGCGGCCACAGACCAGGCGCTTTTCATCCCGGGCAGCCAGCTGGTACTCACAGAAGTCGATCAGCGACGCCACTTGCTCGTGAAGCAGCAGGGACTTGTATTTTTTCTGAGCCAGGCAGAAGAAAGCTTCGACAAAGGCTTGCAAACACATTCCTGCAAGGAAAAGGCGTTTAAAGGAGATTCAGGGCACAGCGCTCTCCAGCAAAGCGCATTCTTTAAATGTAACAGCATCTCTTGGCTCTTTCGGCAGTGAGGCCAAATGTGTGTGCGCCGGGTGCGGACACACACAATTGTGTTAGTTAATATCTTTTAATTTAAACAGCAGCCATCTAGAATGCTCAGGAGGAAAAGAAGTCGCCTGTCCTTCAAAAACCAAAAGACAAGGTTTTACTCGAACGCAGGAGGAGCGCAGGCAGCGTCTCGGTGCGGGGCACGCCTGCGCTGCGTTACAGGCGGGCGGTACTTGCTGTCACTGAGGCTGTTTCTGGTTTTGCAGACACCAGCCCGACAGGCACCCAGGCACCCAGAGGCAAACTGGTACAGCAACAACCCATTTTAAGATGTTGTACAATTAAATCGATGTAACATCAGCCTTGATTTCTGCTGCCTCAAATATTAAGTTGAAACCCAATCAGACACGCAATAACATATTGAGCTTCAAGGCAAACTGTCCACCTGGAGAGGAAAGCAAGCGTATATCGGCACCTGAATTGGGTCATGTAAGCCTTGTATTTTTAGACGGACCTAAAACAAAAGTTCAAACGGTAGAACTACTGAGACAGTACAGCATTTCAGTCTGTAGCACTGTAAAGATCACCCCATTCCCAAGTACCCTCTTCTCGCAGAAGTGAGTTTATCTGAAGAGTCACTTTCCTTCTGTGAAGACTGTACTCGGTGTGAATCCTCAGCCTTCCGTTTGGTGCCCAAGAGGCCATTTTTCTAAGCCATACCCAGTAACTCTACAATTGTAGTTCTGCTTCAGTTGAAGAGTGTCTGAAGGCAAAGCGGTGCAGTGCCAGAACATCCCTCTGCTCCAACGAAGCTCTCTGCTCTGCCCCTCACAACCCAAGTGCCCTGCCGCAGCTGCGGGACGGGCTCGTCAGGCACGGTTTGCTCACGTCTTGCTCCTAACACTTTGCCACAGCCAATTGAAAGCGGGGCTGCATATGAACACTAATCATTGTATTTAAAACCTTGAGGTAATACCGACTTTAATTCTTAATTGAGAAGCCAGACCACAATTGGTTTTGCAGAATGCCAGCAACAAGGAACAGTTACAGCTGCTTCGTGCTTTAACTGGCTCTCCCAGTTTGAACATACACTTAGGAAGATTATTTTGGGATGAGATATTGACAGGTGTGGGGTTTTTTTAACTTAATGGTGGCTTATTGATGCTGCAGGAAAGGCATCTTTTCAAAATATTACAATTACATTCTGCAGTATAATTTCTCTCCACTAAGACTGCAGCTGGGGTCGCTTACGATCTTGGCTGTAAAACAGCTTGCAAAGGAATTGCTGGGTTATCTGAAAGCAGCAGCTGCCAGCTCAGTAAATTGTTTTATCAGTCACGGTGAGCTGCAGGCAGGGAAAGCACCTTTGGTAGCACACGCACTGTCTCCCCCGTAAGTGCCACTCATGCGAAGAGTTTAATGAGAAGGCAGAAGCTGCTGGTTCACACCAGCACCAGTAGCCCCTGCAGGAGCCACAGCTGGAAGCGGCAAACGCAAAGCCCACGGAAATGGCTGGCTTTTTGTGTTTTAACACCTAGAAAACACCTGGTTCATTGCGACTCTCAATAAATCTCAATTTCTGAAAGCCTGGAGATTCTTGCATTTCTATTATTTTGGTAGCGGGAGTCTATCTGCTAACCACACAAACGACTTCTACCCGCGCTGAAACGCTGAACGCGAATACTCGAATCTCACACACCTCTGCCACGAAGGGGACCCTAACCCACCGAAAGCAGAGCAGGCGTTCACGTGTAATGAACCACGCCGTCTCCTCTGCACTGTGCCTCCCTTTTCATCGTAGCTCTGGATGTGCTCTTTGTACCGGGCATGCGAACAGTCTGTTTTACTTATTCTCCTCTTGCCTTATCTGACATCGTACACACAGACTCTGCGGGATATTATAGGGTACCTACGTTCAAGCAAGACAAAAGTACTACTTATCTATTTCACACAAATAAAAGCTTCATTAACATTTTTGAAGCAAGTTCAAATATTCAAAAAAAGGTTATATGCAAATAATTTTACTGCTGTCATACTTGACCACGTACATCGTTGCACGTCACTAATTCCTGACGCTTATGCAGGAGAGAACTACAGATGTGTTTGAGGGGGGTGGGATAATGAACACAAGCGTCAGTCTCAACTTGGAGACTTTTGATTCTTCTCCTGTTTTAGCATTTAAAATAAAAGATGCAGGAGTACATACATCGAAGTCCATGTTCAGCTTCTTATATAAAAATATATTTTGAACCAGTTTCTGGGAAGACGCCAGCTGCAGCTGTGACCAGCACACTAAGTTCTGCCAGCGGCGTCCAGGTGGATTTCTTATCCCACACTGGTTGAAATGGAACCTTGACAGTCCTCCTGGACAGCCACGAGGAGCAGCGGTACAGAACCTTCCAGAACAGTCCAGCTGCTGTTCCCTTGCTATGAATGGCTCAAAAAAAAAAAAAAAAATTGATGTCAGGAACAACTTGCTGTTGAGAAGGGAATATCAGCGCAACTGAAATTCTTCAACATTTTACAAAAGCTATAGAAAAATTGCCAAATTTATGGACTTCAGTTCATACAGAAATGTCACAAAAATTTTAGAAATTAAGTTATATGTTAAATGGTGTATTTAGGCCATTAATGTAACAAGAAAATAATCCCTGAACTCTGCTATTTGACAGATTACTGTCTCAGATCTAAAAACGTGACCAAAGCAGATGAGGAGGCAATTCACTACTGGTGGCTAGGCTGGCTGTTTGTTTCTCTAGCAAATTATACGAGGTTTTCCTCTGTTTATTCATTTGCAATAGGTTTTCTTCGTAAACGTCAATAACCAGCTCACCAACTCTTTGTGAACACCTCACAAAATGCCATCTAAAATACCTGGATCAGGTGCTCACGAAGCTTTTAAAAATGCTTTACGCAAATACAATTTCTTCAGCCAGTGAAATGCTCTTTTTCCTTAATTATTTCACTGAGAACTGCAAGCCTTCCTTTTCACTTCTACAGCCGAGCATACAATAGCACTTAGCTACTCCAGAGCCTTCCAAAGCGTCTCGTCTTCTGGCCAAAGAACTGAACGTCCAGAATTAAATCAAAAAGAGAAGATAAGCATATTTATTTCTACCCCCTGCACAGCTTTTTGTTAGGTTGGTTTTTGCTAGACCATGTAAGCTACTCTCATATGGACATACCTTCTTACACTGTAATTAAACTGGAGGTTCCACAGGGAATGTTTCTAAACACTTCTCTGCAAACAGCAACAAGAATTACAAATGCAAAATTGCAACCATAAGAAGGGGCTTGCAGAAGACTTGTTCCAATAAATGCACTGAAAAATAAGAGTGATCTGTTCTATAGATAAAGGGAAACCACCACAGAACTAAGCAGAAGAATTTGTTGTACATGTACACGCCTCAAATGTACATGCCTTGTTCCCATTACTTTTACTGAACATTTAAGGTGTGCTTGAGCTACCAAAACCACAAAAAACCCCCCAGCTTCTATAGTATTCAAATACAAAATAGTGTTACCTGATTCTTTGTGGTCGATTCCCATGCTGTTCCACCTTCTTGTGATATCAATATATAAGATATCTACAGAAGCCATTGAAAAATTGCTGTTACTCAATTTGCAGTTTCTGTTCAAAATGAAGAAAAAATTCTGATTACATCCACATTTCCTAGTTAGGAAAAATTCTGCCAGGGCAACTGAGAGCACACTGGGAGAAAAGTTCACCCGTGTCATACGCACGGACCCACTGCAACATGCTCAGTCTAACAAAACACCGACCGCAGACGGCAAACAAAGCAGTGTTCATTAAATGCAGGCACCTGAAGCGGTACGGGCCGTGAATTTTCCAGGTGCAGAGCATCTCCTGTGTGCACCCAGCCCTGCTGCCTGCTCGGAGCACGCAGGCAGCCCCGCTGCCAGCAGCCGCTGGGGGCGGGGGGCCGCTTCCCACGCAGTCTCACGCCAATCTCCAGCCACAAAAAGGCAGCAGGTCAGATGATAGATTAACTGGTTTATTTTGGTTTTGCAACAAGGCAGAAAGAAGAAAACCCCAAATATTTCAATGAAAAACGCGTTGACCGTTCCACACAGCTTTCTCCCAGACTGTTGCTAGTACAATTCCACGTTTCGAAACCCAACACAAACCTACACAGACTATCTACATGAGGCAGAGTCTGCACAGAGAAATGCTCTTTCATCTGACTGACTGATCCTGTTTGAAAAGGTCTGGAGAAAGGCTTTCAGGCACACAATTACCTCTTCGTGCCCAAACACTGAACAGATTTGCCCTGTGCGTTACTGAACGCCGCACGGAAAACAGCAGCATCTCGAGGTGCATCTCGGGCATTTGGCGATACGCACGTGCAGGAGATCGGACACTTGTGCGGTCTGAGCCCGCAGCGTAGCGTTGAGCAGTATATGGGAATTAGCCATCTGTCCAGGATTTCCAGATGTCTGGCAGCCTGGCTGGAACTAGCACACATGCCAAGGAAATGGCCAAAATTTCTAGCCAGAAAAGAGATAAAAATCTAAACCCAAAAAAACCCCAGATAATTTAAAAGAATCTTACTCTTTAGCAGCCTAAGCAGAGCTCCCTTAAACCAGACAGTTAAGGTCTTGCCTAGATAGTCCCCAAAAAAATCTTCGGCAGCATCCAAAGCAAGGACTAGAGCCACATTCAGCACTTCCCTTTTAGTTATTTTTTAGAATGAAGAAATTCTTGAAGGGGAACAGATTTTGATGAGCTAAAATTTCAGTGGACAGTCTCTGCAACCACTGGCCCACACACACACTCGTGTACCATTTTATTCTGGAAAAGTGATACAGCACACTTCTTAGCAGCGTGACCTTATTTCTGAAATGAGCAGTGACGACAGCATTTCAGAAAAGGGCCATGGAGTTGGTATAGATCCTCTGGGCAAAAATAAACAGAATATTTGCCAATATTAAAAAGTTTAATTTAACAGGCATTAGGAAACTGCAAACACTATTTCACTGAGATATGGCAATTTAATATTCTTGAAAGAAAATGTTGGCATTTATTCTGCGTTCCTCTGACAAGTGGCAAACTAAGGCTGGACTAAACAACACAAAATACAGAACTGGAAAGAATCCTGTGCTGGTCTGTGGACAGAGCAGATGCCTTCAGTCATTTTCTATTTATTGTAATTTGTATAAATCAAATTGTTTCCATTTATTCCTGAATGCTAAATGCATCTGCATAGAAACAGGATCTGTATTTTAAGAGTGCATCTGCTGCTGCTGCTTATTTCTTTTGTCGTTGTCAATGAAAGACAGAAAATGAGATATTTGTGCCATGACTAGAACAGACAAATCCATAAAACACAATGAAAAAAACCTCACAGACAAAAAGTACGTGAAAACATAAATCGAGTTCCTTGCCATTGCAAGTTGCAATTCCACAACGCAAATCCTCCGTGCACAGTGCATGGGCAACGGCACTTGGCAATCCCTTCCTGCGGCCGGGGCAGGCGGCTGTGCCCCGCAGCCAGCAGAACCGGATCGCAAGTGACCCAGTGTCGGCTGTCACTTTCTCACGGTGGCATCCCTGTGATGTACTAGGAACATGACACGTTGACCAAGACTGCGGACAGTACCTCCCAAAGTATTCCTGATCTACTGCAGAATAAAGACCCACGTTCCTACCGGACAGTTTCATAGGTCAGGTACTTGGGAGTTTGGAATGATAAAAATACATCTATTTCATAAAAAAATATGCAATGGTTCAATGGAACTTATGGGGAAAAGTTTCTTTAGAAGGCATCACTAAACCTACTAAGAGGGACAGCAGTGCCATCCCACAGGACTGGGAGTTTCTAAGTTCTCGACCGCGCTTTAAGCGCTTCCTGCAGAAACCTTCACCTTACCAACCTTATAAAGGTGCGGAAACCTGTCGGCCCCAGCTTCGTGGTCCCTTTCACGCCAAGAAATCGGATGAACAACGCAGCCACTCTGTCCACCAGCCGCAGGTAGCTGAACTGCCTCGCGTACTTGGGGAACACTTGCTTGAGGCAGAGGGAGGGGAGGCCAGCCTCCGGGCTGCGGGGACGGTCGCACGCCGCCCCGGCCGCCAACAGCTCTGCGTCGGCTTCTGACACGCGCTCCAAGGTCTGACACCTGCAGCACGAAAAAGAATTGGATCTTATGTTAACCTGATACTTAAAAGATTCAATATGCTGTCTTTCTGTGGGTTTTTTTTTTAATTATAAGCCATTATTTCAGGAGGCCTTTACAACAATGAAACATCTAGAGCAAATACTAAGGTTTCCTAAAGCAGAAATCATGTTACAGGAGTATTTAAAAGGATAAGCAGCAGACTATTCTCTGATGCCAAAAATAATGCCTGTAAGTACACTAGACAAAAAGATGTTGCACCATTACAACAGGTTCTCAACAAACTGGGCCCCACAGAGTTATTTTTTTCTGAAACAGCAGAAGGTTGTTTTTTTCTAATCCACACAGTTAATCATAAGAAGTCAAATATTTCAACCTTCCCCCCCACATCACAGAAATTGTTTTTCTTGATGTAGATTTGTTGTGATGCTGTAGAATACCCATATTACTTTCAAAAGTCTTCACAACCTCACGAAAGGTAAAGGCTAACTTCTTCCCCAGAGATGAGGAAACACCAAACAGTAACTGCACATTGGCATTATCAGCATCAGACAAATGCAGCTATGTAGAAAAGAGATGACCTTCATGGAATTTCATGGGATATTTTATGGGAAATGCTTAGAGATTGTAATAATCATAGAATCACAGAATGGTTTGGGTTGGGAGGGACCTTAAAGACCATCTGGTTCCACCCCCCCTGCCATGAGCAGGGACATCTCCCACCAGACCAGGTTGCTCAGAGCTCCATCCAACCTGGCCTTGAACCCTGCCAGGGAGGGGGCAGCCACAGCTTCTCTGGGCAGCCTGGGCCAGGGCCTCACCACCCTCATGGGGAAGAATTTCTTCCTAATATCTAACCTAAATCTGCTCTCTTTTAGTTTACAGCCGTTCCCCCTTGTCCTAGCATTACACACCCTTGTGAAAAGCCCCTCTCCATCCTTCCTGTCGGCCCCTGCAGCTACTGGAAGGCTGTATAATCTAGTGATATTTAAACTTATTTTCCAATAACGATTAGAAGCTTTTACCTTCCCTGATAAGTAAGGTACAGAAAGTACCATAAGATACATTTGCAAAGAAATTCTAACAACACATTCAGAAGCAATATGGTTCACAGAAATGCACACAGGCACTATTCAGAAGACAGCTTCTGGGCAATCCCGTTATTTTTTCTTCAAATCCTCTGTGCATACTGTCAAAATACATTATTTCATCTTCATTGTTGTTGCCAAATTCCCTGAACAAAGCTGATCAAGATAATGATGTTCCAAGACAAACGTTACGTTTATTCGGCGTGACATATTTTTACTTTTTTTCCTGCATTTGACAGATCTAGATAAAATTACAGATTGCTATCCTCATAAGTTTAAAAAGTCTGATAGCTGATGGTAATTATTTGGCACCGACTGAGCATATACAGGTTTTAATTTTCTTTCCAGTCATTTTTCCAAGTACCTATCATCAAGAGTAAGTAGAATTCACACTAGGTACTAAAAAAATTAGTGCTTTTACTACATTGCTCTTTTGTGTTCCTGAGCAGATTTAGTGTCCTCCAGAAAGCCCCGTTCCAGCAGAGGATAACAATCCACACAGTTATTATCCACCCACAGCACTGCAAAAGTTATGAAGTCAAACCTACAGTACATGTGTGCTTCCCAAAAGGCAGCAGGGCTCCTTCGCCCTCGTACAACCACCCGCAGGCACCCACCCGCAACAAACATCCCCACGGGGTTTTTAGCCTCTCTCTTCTACTGCATCGCCCTGAAAGACATTAATCCACTGCCACGCCGTGTCCCCTTTCCGTACGGAATACTTCAAAGTCAGACTTTTACCTTCTAGTGAGAGGTGTGGTGAAAGTCAACGCTGCATGGCGACTGTACGACAAAGGGCCTCACAGCAAAAATGGTAAGAATTACAGGAAAAAAAGCTTCCATTGGTATGCACTAAATTGCGATAGCCACTCTCTACACGGAGGCAGGAACCTTCTCCCTGCAGGAAATACCAGCTCCACATTTCTTTAGATGAGCTTTGAACGTCAGCAGAGGTTGCAGCAGTTCTTCGCAAAAATCGTCCGCATTCGGCCTCTTTTGGTGTTTCAGCACCGACAACGGCCAAGCCGTCAACCCGCGACCCACACGGCGGCTCTTCTCCTAAGACTACTGTGACAAACTTCTGCAATAACGGCGGTACTTTTGTGTTACCACTACATTCATATTGAGTAGCTGTAGCTGTGATCATTTTTCTGATATTAAAGACTCTAAAAAGTCTTTAAAAAAATAAATAAAAATGTTAGGTAGTGCCTTGGTAATGTTGTTCTTTGCTGCAGATAGCAAAGAAAAATAATGTTATTTTTGTCTTTCGTTAAGTGAAGCTTAAAGTAACAAATTACTAGTTTTGCTCTTTTCTCATGTAAGATTGGGCGGTGGTTTCACCGCCATCGAGTACCCGCTGGCTGCCGAAAGAACAAGAGTATGCACAGCCAAGAAACAACAAGCGTGCAGGCTTCTATTTTTAATCATAAAAGGTCTGTTCATGAATTTAAAAATTCAAATCTTCAGCCAGTTGAACCAGACCTTGACCAAACGTGAAAGCTTGTACTCGGCAGGAGAGAAGGCTGCGTTGTTTGTAACACAACTCTCGTTTTAACGATGCCCGGAAGCCCCAAACCCTTTCTCATTCTAAATTCAGGAGTGTTTTGGATTGTACATTATTCATTCATCATTAATGTTTGCAGTTAAGAAAAACACAAAGCTTTACTTTAAAAGGCGCAAGCAGAGCTGAGGAAATTTCATTAGATTTCATGTTTTGCAGAAAAGCCTGAAGAGACCGTTGAAGGTAATAAAGCAGAGGCTCTAAACGACCACTTAGAATTTCCTTCTTCCCCTCCTTTCTGTGGACAAAAGCCTACAGCTGCCTTTGAGGTCATGGATAAAAACTCCAAACCAGCAGCCCATTCCAAACTTTTACTGAAATAGCTCTTAAAACCATATTTCTTACTAGAAAAGTATTTTTAAAATAAAACTAGCTCTTTTTGTATGCTACTGCATGTCTCATTCCTTCCCACTTACACATTAGGGAAGTCAATAAAATACTTAAATCAGAACAAGAAAACTTAATTCTAATCTTTATTGCCAAATCTTGTACTTCCATTAAGCAAAGAGAATATACTTCTCAATTTGCTTTTACAGGTTATTGCTTTTATAAAGTTTAATGATTTGTTGTCATTCTTTAGCTTCCCCCCACCTCCCTACTGATTTTCTTCGGTTTCCTTCCTTTTCTAATGCACTAGAGCTTAATTAATTTGATCACCTAATCCAAATTAAAGTGAAAGTTATCCTTTGTGCTATTAATAAAATCCAGACTTTCCAAAGCAAATCTGCACGAGAGCTTGTCCCTGTCTGTAGAACTCAATTCATACACAGACGTGCTTATTCTGCACCTTAACGCCGGCATTTACACCGCCTTTATTCAGGGTATAATTCTCCACTGCTCCCACTGACAGTACTTCAATAAAAGTTTATTTTATGTAGATCTACCCAACACACTTGTATGCACCCAATCTCAATGCAGTCTCAACATGACTAATTAAGAAAAACTGCCTACCTAGGTATATTACAGCCAGACGCAGGGTCCATAAAAACACAGTTTTACTGTGATCTGCACATTTTTGCAAGGAAACAGTGCCCAGCGTATTTTTCGCCCTAGCACTAGATAAATTACGCTCGCATGCACCATTACATTACTCCTGTGTGTCGCTGCCATCTGCCACGGCCACACCACACGGGCGAGCCGGGTGACGCAGCTCCCCGAGGGCCACGCAGCCAACGGCCGGTACGAGCACTGCCAGTCCCGCAGGAACACGCAGAAACACAGCTCGAAGTCCAGCAGCAATGACAATGTAAGGGGGATTTTCACCTCCATTTCCACCATTAACTCCTCAGTCAGCTGGAGAATACAGAAGCACTCATTTTTGTACTGTTACCCATCAGGTTCCAAGTGTTGCTGAGGACTCCTACGCACATCGACCAGCCAATTCTTTCTTACTCCAGCACGCGACTTCCACCAAACATCTGCACTGCGCCGCTCAGGGCTTCCCTCGGGAGTCCGGGCACAGCACATGGGGCTCTCTCGCTCGGCCCCAGCCTCGCTGCAAACCTCGCACAACATCTGTGGACAAGCACTACGGAGCTGCAGGGAAGGGATCAGCGACTCCAGAATGCTGCAAAGAATCTCCAGCAAGAGCCACTTGCGCAGGCTTCCCCCATCAGCTGCCTTCTCACGGGATTTCCGACGGGCAAGGGGAGGAGCAGAACGCCGAGCCCCGCACCTTCAAGCTGCTCCTTAGCATTAATCATTTTGACTGACAGAGCTGAGTCAGGCTCAATGAATGAGAGGTCAAATATAAGGTAATGCTTCTGCTGCCATACAGAATAAAAGCAAAGCTTAATCTACATACTAATGTCTGACCTCAATACATTAATTTCTCTAATTCTGCAGCTCATGACAGATGTTTCTTTAGAAATTATCAACTGTGGACAAAATATTAACTGCATCTTTAAAAAAGAATTTCAATTTTAATAAAGCTTATGGAAATGACATCTAAGAATATTTATCTTTTATACACAATTATTAATTTATTAATGTTTCCTCCACCTATGTTTTATCCCTTTCATTCTGACCAGCCTTAATCTTTATGCAAATACAAGTTGCTAAGGGACAAACAAATTTGCAACTACTAATTAAAGGCTTCAAAATTCCCAACATTTTGTATACTTGTATAGAAAAATTAGCTGGCAAGTTCAGCATAAAATTAGGTAAGAACTGCAGTATTAATATCTCTAAGAATGCTCACTTGATATATTTAGCTTCTAGGGCACTGCTAGAAGTAAAAATTAAGCAATTTTTGTATCAGCTGACAACTGCTTACCTAATAAAAGAAAATATTAGGTTCTGGATTCTGAAGCTGTAATTATTCCCTCAGCTGAGCCACTATTCTCAAAGCAAGG